TCTGTAGATGAGTGAATATGGCAGCACTTACGGCCACGGACTGGACTGAACACTGACCACTCCTCCGATACCTGCCGTAACAAGTGACTGGCTAACGTCTAACCACAGAAATAAACCAATGAGCTGTGCCTATGCTGGCTGCTTCGCCATTTTATGGGTTTATTTGGTTGATTATTTAAAATGTCAAAAAAAAAAGCATATTAAAATGGTATCCATTAATCCTGACAACGTGCTGGTCTTAGTCAGGAGAATGTAGCCTTAACAGATACTCAGAGATAAGCAGGGCATCGGGAGCAACGAGATGGTAGACACCAGAAGGCAACAAGGCGCTTCCATGGGACGAGGCCAGTGCTTTTATAGTGCAAGTACGCCTCAAGTCACAAAAATTCCAGCCCTACAGCAGTCGTTCAGTAAATTTCTGTAAAATAGGTAGAAAAAATCAGTGCTCTAATTACAATTAATGAGCTGAATAAAGAACACATTCCTGATAGTCTCTTGTTCCAGTAACAATTTGCCAACTCCCTATGTCACCTAACACCAACTAAAACAGAATGAAAATATAGCTATTTTTCCCCCTAAAAACTGAAGAACAGTGTCCAGGTCTATAACAACATGCTTGAATGGTGACAAAGTGTTCTACTAGAGTGGCTCTCATAGCATAGAAAACTGAGAATTTTTTGAAAGCTGGGAGTGACATCTAGTCCATGGGTTGTAACTCGAATGCCTACAAGGGCCAAGCAGACCACACGAACACGTGGGGAACCTGGGGTTAAGTAGTAGGAAGTCGTGGAGACTGTGACAAATAGGAAAATGCACATAACACCCAAAGACACAAAAATTAAATGGTTATGCTGGACTAAACCACATAAATTGTATCTGCTTTGGCCTTTACGCTGCCAGTTTTAAACTGATGCTTTGTCTAATCATCCTCTTCATTGCATAGACAAGGAAACTTAAGTCCTAAGAAATTTAAGCAGCTTTCTCAGTGACACAACTGAGATGAGAACTCAGACATCCTCCATCCTACATCAGTTGTTTTTAAATCTTTATTCTTATAGTTGTAAAAAATAAAGCATCTAAGAAAATGGCAGCCATTCTCTACTACTCAGATTTAATAAATTATACCTTACAATAAATCACATGACCACTTAATAGACTACTAAATAGGAGGATTCTGCCTTTCAAGAGATTAGCCAAAAGCTATACCAAATGGCAAAAACTGCCGGCTACCTTGGAGGTGTGGGGACAAGAACATATCTGGCTTTGTCTTCAGTGGATCAATGAGTTTATTCAATCTGACTGATGCCAAAATTACCACTCTCTAATTTGCACCCTGACAGTTTCAGACTGAAGAGGACCTCTTAGTAGACATTTACAACAATTACAAATGCGTATCAACTTCCTAGTGAACCTCTTCTGGAATAAACTAACTGAACTGCTTTACTAAACAAGTAAAGAAACAAGAATGAAATACTTTATAAACTTTCAGCAATTTAAATATCACTAATGAAATGGAAGAATCTACCAGCCAAAACATTACCTAATTAACAAGCCTAAATGAGACGATATTTTAAGGTTTGATTTACTCAATAAAAGTTAAGCAAACAGCAGCAAGAATTCTTAAACCTATTTTCCATGTTAAACAAAATATCAGAAATTTCACACCATTCCTCAACATAAACTCATCTAATGTATAATATACCCTGTAATCCTTAATCTCTGGATATACATCAAGATTTTAAAATAGCCCATTTTCTACCAATTTAAAGATACTGCTTAAAATTTAACCAAAATATATTTTATATTTGTAATACATACTTAATAGAATCCATATTATTCCATCATCTGCCACTAAAATATATTAACAGAAAGATGGAGTCTTATCCTCTCTTCTGAAGAAATAAGTATATTCGAGACCATTTCTTAGCTTTCTCAGTGAATAATTTCCAAACTGAAATGACTTTACATGAATAAGCTGTTATTTATATAAACATAGGTGATTTCTGCATCTGCCAGAATGACACATACTTCAAAATGTGTCAAGACACCATCCTTATAAAATGTATGCTTTATTTCATCTTTTGTACTTCTCACATGTTCCATTATATTTTAAGATTTTGACTGAAGCTATCATTTTGCAAAAATATAGGAATGAATTACCTGTTTCATTAAAACTAAGAGATTCTTTTAGCCCACATGTATTCTGATCATGCCTAGCATCTCAGGTAAGCTGTCCTTTTGCCATGATCTTATTATTTTTTATGTACATAGGTAAGCAGCGCAATTCCCAAAGTACTGCTTAACTCAAAGTCATCAACTCCAAGTCATTAAGGCAGCTCTGGCTACCCACGCAAAGCCTGGAATATCTGTATGCTAATGCAGCTATGACTTCTGGGTTATAACGATTTTTTACAAAGAAGCTTGTACTATACAGAAAGGAATCCCTTTATTCTAAATCTCTAGTAACCACTCTCACCTTCTACCTCATAAAAGCACAGACATCAATGGATGTACATTTTCATTTTGGCAGCATGAACCACTGATGATGTTCATGGATGTCTATTAAGCTTAGTCACTTTTCCTAGTTTTAGAAAGGATCATACAAACAGGAAGGAGTAGAAGAAAAGGAGTTCCTGAATCTACAGCTACACAGAAATGATTAGAGAATCCAGTGAAGACAGAATAAAGCTTTAAAATGGAGATCTGTGAAATTTCCAGAGGGGGAAATTACCCCTCCATTGAAGGCCACAGAATTTGCTCACTCTCTTCAAAAGCTAGAGCAGTAAATAAATCCATATTTTCAAAAACTGTTATTCTTCTGGAGCAACTGGCTATTTGTAGCTGAAATAGCACTGAAAATCAGAATTAAATATCACTCTGCCAACACCAAATGACCTAAAAAAAATAAAATACAGAATCAAATGTAACTCTATGTCAAAACTAAAAGTCCTAACAAATATGTTATTAGATCCAAACTAGGCACTTATATCACTCAAGATAACAGCATATTAGTAAAATAAACTTTGAAAAATTCCCCTTCTGAATCTATTAAAAATGAACACCCAGGATATAAAAACAAAATAAATTATTTTTTAAGTGCTTTGATATTAAGCTTTTTAGTTAAATAGGCTACGATATCACCAACCTTTAGAAAAAAGGAAGTCACAAGAGGAAACCTACGAAGACAAAAATGGAAAACCACCACTCATACTCTTGTTGCCATTTTTGAAAAACTGGGTGGCACGTAAAAGAAATACTAAGCCCAGTATTATGAAATTCTACAGTAAAGAGTGAAAGGACAAAGAGATGAAGGCTGGAAATGTAAAGTAACTGCTGAGTGCTCTGCTCACACCGTCAGAAACATCTAGATTTGAGACATCACAGATCATTAGATTTTGTAATTCCGTACAAATACCATTTAACATCTGGTTATTTGGGATACTTTTTAGGCCAATATTCTAATTACAAGCATGTTTATCTATCAAAACATGTTTCCTCATAGGATAGTAAGCTGAACTTATTTTACTTAATGCAAGCAGATCAAATTCTACCGCAAAGTATGTTACTGTATCATAAAATTTTCTTAGGCAAAATTTGGGTATTAATTCTAAAACCTTGTATTATGAATAATAATAACAAAATAATCCTTCTCTTTATAGACATGGGTTAAAGACCAAACTCAAGTCTAACGTCCAAAAAGTTTTCTAACAATTTAAATACTCATTCTTGGTGGTGTTTTTTAGTCATATTTTTAAAGCTGAAATATTTATGTAACAATTTCCACTTTGATTAGGCCAATCACTATATTAAAATATATCTGTGAGGTCTGAATAACAGGTATAAAAGATCTGGTGTATCAGATCAAGAAATGTACACACATAGATTCTAATTTTCCTGTTTGAGACTGAAGCCCTTACCTATCAAATTAATCTTTGAAAAACACTAAAAAGTAGATATACTTTCTAACTCTGTTCTTAGCATTTTTGAGAAGCTGAATTTCTTCCGGGAGAAGTTGAATTCATTTAACGGACACACACCGCTTTTAAGACTGTTCTCAACAAAGAGGTCATACCTACCAATAATCTACCACTATTGTTTTTAATTGTGGTAAAACTAGTATACAACACTACATATATTTCAGGTGTACGCTGTAATCGCTATTTGTATACATTCACAGTGATCACCACTGTAAGCCCAGTTATCACCCATCACCATAAAACTGATCCCAACTGCTATTTTCTTTTGGTTGTTTCTTTGTCTGTATGCATTCACCCATTTATATATTGTTGAAAGCAAAGATATAATTGTTTCGCGTTTTTAAAAAATTTAAACAATCCTGTTTTTTCATAATACTTTAGTCTTATATAAAATGTGAATTTTTTCAGAGAATATCTTTAAGCATTCCAGAATTTTCTTAATTCTCTCATATTTAAGTTATTCTTCCTACTTCTTGCTATTAGAAATAACAATGCCAATAGTTTTCGTCTTTCATCTATATTACTTGCTCAGGGTAAATTCTCAGAAGCGGGACTACCAGACTGAAGGATGCTAATTTTTTTTTATTCTTAGAGAAAGTTTGGTAGGGGCCAGACCCATGGTGCAGTGGTTAAGTCTGGTGCACTCCACTTCGGTGACCTAGGTTCTCAGGTTTGGATCCCATGTGCAGAACTACACCACTTGTCAAGCCATGCAATGGTGACAACCCACACACAAAATAGAAGACTGGCACAGATGTTAGCTCAGAGCTAACCTTCCTTGAGCAAAAAAAAAAAGGAACACTCACAGTGGATGTTAGCTCAGAGTGAATCTTTCTCACAAAAAAAAAAAAGAAAGAGAATCTTTGGTAAAGGATTTCTGTAAGCGTGAAATTGCCTAAACAATCTTAGTTGACAGAAATCCTTTAATATATTTTTGATAATTACAAAAGTTTAAATAGAATAAAAATTACAGTTTATTTTTAAAATTCCACAACACTCTCAGTATCCATTTGAAGAAACAAATTTTAATAGAAAAGTGTTTGTTAATCTGATTATGAAGTTATGTATGAAACGATGATGTAATAATTGTCTTTCAGGTTCCATCCTCCTCATCGAAAACAAGAACAAAAGAACACCCTGTTTGGCCCTTTCTCACCCCACGAACCAAGTCCATTCTCAAATGCTGGCATGTTCCTGCAGCAACGCCCTCAGGTACGGAGGACTTTCAAAACTTTCACGGCAGCAATTTGACTTTAACTTAGACGAGAGAGGGGAAGAGGGAGAGGTTATCAAAGAACAGATGACAGCCATCTGCTCTCCCTTTCACCACGAGATGAGAAATGAGGACACAGAATTAAATCTTTTGAAAAACGTCAGGCTAACGAAAATTTTGAAAGCAGTGTACTAAAAGAACAGGTCAGCAGGGGCCAGCCCAGTGGCACAGTGGTTAAGTTCGCACACTCCACTTCAGTGGCCCAGGGTTCATGGGTTCAGATCTCAGGCATGAACCTACACACCACTCATCAAGACATGCTGTGGCAGTGTTCCACATATAAAATAGAGGAAGACTGGAACAGATGTTAGCTCAGCGACAATCCTCCTCAAGCAGAAAGAGGAAGACTGGCACAAATGTTAGCTCAGGGCCAATCTTCCTCACCAAGAAAACAAAATACAAAAAAAACAGGTCAACAAAAGATATTTTATCTTTCTGAGGGCCAGTTTACATCTTCAGGATGCAGTTCCACCTCATTCACACTCTCTCTAAGAGATGAATCAAATGACTTACTTGTACATCTTCTATCTTTCATTCTGGATTCAGAGTCCAGAGTCCTTACCATCACACCACAGAGCTGCCTACTCTTTCATTCTAATCACCTCTTTAATTACCAAATTCACCCTGTACAGGGGGAATCAGCACCAAAACTAGGACTAAAGCAGAATCTCAGCCAGAAAATTAATCTTGAAGAAGGAACTTTTTCTGTCTATTTCTCTCATTTCTGTAAAATAAAGACAAACACCATTCTGTAAGAGATCTGTTAAATAAATATGATGAGATCGAATGGTTGGTACAACAGTATAATTACAGCCTGTTCTCAGAATGTTCATGCTAAGTTCATTAACTGTGACATTGTGAGATACTCTACCTAAATAATGTAGGAAAATAAGATATATCAATTAATTAAGACAAAACACGTTTAAACAGAAAACTTCCAATAGTCAAATTTAGATCCAATGGATCCAAATTGTTTTGTATAGTTCTTTTTCTAATTTGTTTAAATTTGTTTAATTTGTTAAATGAGTCAATTATCTACAGAGAAAGCTTAGATAAAATTTCCTCTTGAATTTACTTGGTTACTAGAAAATACCATAAGAAATCAATATTAAAGTCTCTATATAGCTAAGCCAGTAAAGGTTTTGTCTACCAGCAAGCTAATGGATATCCTCAAATATAAGATCTACTTTTAGAAAGTCATCAATCTTTACAATTAATTTTGAAAGCTTTGGTCCACTTCATCATTCTTTAATATAGATGGTTTTCAACTAGTTTTGAATAGCTCTGAACATTTTTTTAAATCAAACTGAGCTGCCTGACGCTAAGAACAATATAGAAACTGTGAGAAATATATATTAGAAAAGAAGGTATTTGAGGGTTCCTGCCTTCTTTTTATAAACTCAGTAACTACTTAAATTGTCTCAAACCCTGAATCTATTTCTCTTTAGACTTTGTATTAGAAAATATGGGGATATAAACTTCAATAAGAGATTCCATCCATCCTTTATCCTAGAAGAACCACTGATATGAGAGTACTTTATTCACGGCTGTGAGAATCACCAATAGCACACTATTAAGTCAGCTCAAGCCCATCAGTGATTCTATAAAAATGACACGGCCAAGCCATTAAAGTGACAAAACTTCCATTTCTCAAAGACGGCGATTTTATGGAAACAAATCATGTAGTCTGACATGCAACCAGATGCAAGTTCAGCATATTCACAAGAACCAGACTTAACGTTAAGTGGTAAACGCCTTAACATTCAAAACTTCACACGGCTTCTTTATTACTGAGACCTTATTATTATGAAAATCGGCTCCTTCCTAGAACCACTGGCAAGGTTTCTGGCACAAGTTCAGCACAAAAGCATCTACAATCACGGAACCATTTTTAAATCAATTTTTTAAACAGTGAGGCCCAATAAAAGTTGCCACAGATTTGAAAGGAAAAAGAAGGTTCAAAAAAGAGTGAGACATAAAGAGAAACTTTTTTTGCTACATAAATGGCCAATCAGTCCAATTGCTTACATATCTCTTAAACTGGTCATGACTGGCAGAGACTAATAACAGACACTGATGACAACAGATGGCATGGCATCACCAGTCATAGCCACTTAGCTGGATCAGACCACACCGTGGAGACCAACGTCACAAGAAAAGTGGTAGCTGCATTTAAAAAAGACATGAATATCAATTGCTAAAAGGAAGCTGTTCTACAAACCAAACTAATTTCAAACTACAGGTCAAATTAATAATACAATTAAGGTCTTGATAAATCAAGCATTTCTACCATAAAACCTTCAAAGCACAAAGCCATAACATTTTTTAAAACTAATCCTAATCCATCATTTGCTTCTTAAAAACAAAGTTTCATTAAAAATACTATTCTTTTTTCTTTAACTTTTTAATAGGAAATAATTATAGATTCACAGGAGGTTGCACAGAAATGTACAGGGAAGTCCCATGCATCCTTGCTCCAGTGTACAGGGCTAACATCTTACACAACTACAGCACAATATCAAAACCAAGAATTTGACACTGATACAATCGACAGGGCTTATTCAGAGGTCACCAGTTACACACGCATTCGTGTGTGAGTGTGTGTTCAGATCTATAAAATTCAATCATATGTGTAGCACTGTGTAATCAAGATAGTCAACTGTATCCTCAAAGACATCCCAGGGAACCCCACTGCAGCCACTATTCTTTGCTAAGCAACTAGTTAACAGAAAAGGTCATTCCACTGTCCTATGTTAACCATCGTATCAAAAGTAGATACTTTAGTTACTGAGAAGTAGAAAATAACCCTGTATGAGCTTTCTTTATTTTATTTTAAGTCCGAGGTGAATCTAAGGTTAAGAAAAGCAAATAAGTGGGACCTTGGAGGACGGAAGGCAGCTCTGAAGGTGGTGGGGGGTGACAACCAACAGGGAGAGGGTGACGGGACACATTTCCAGGGGAGGCTTCGATGACAGCTGGAGTAACTGCCCTAAATCAGGTGACACGAGGCAGTCTAAATTTCCTAACAGCTTCCTAAAATATACTAGATTAGCAAAGAAAGCAAAAGGGTGTTATACAGGTAAGTTTTCAGACATCATAAAGGGAAAGCAATAAACTATTTTTGTTTCATAGTCGTATTAAGTTAAACATATCATTTAATAGTAATATGGATTGCTAAAGCTTAAAAGTCTACTATGTAATCCATTTACTCTATTAAAATAGTTTATTATAGAAAAAAGATTTTTTAAATTTATTTTTAAATTTTATTTTTTTTAATTGCAGTAACACTGGATTATAACAATATATAGCTTTTAGATGTACATCGTAATATATTTTGAATTCTGTATACATTACATCATGTTCACCACCCAAAAACTAACTATAGTGCAACCCCTCACATGTGAGCCTAATCACCCCTTTTGCCCTCCCCTCCTTCCCCTATGGTAACCCCCAACTCAATCTCCATAGCTACGTGTGTTTGTCGCTGCTTTTATCTTCTACTTATGAGTGAGATCATATGGTATTTGACTTTCTCCCTCTGACTTATTTCACTTCGCATAATACCCTCAAGGACCACCCATGTTGTCACAAACGGCCAGATTTCACCAAGAAAAAAAGATTTTAAAACCAGAACATACTGTGGACATCTACTAAGAACATCGAAATGATGCCATTAATATGAGAAGCTTTTTCAAAATGCAGTGACTAACCAGAGGTAAGAAAATTAGCGTAACTTCCTTAAAAGTTATTGGCAGTAGTACGCTCTGAAAAATGAAATTATTCTACTTAATTCATTTTGTAATTCTCTCAATCCAACACTTACATTCAAATTTGAGGATCCAGCATCCATTGAGAATCCCAAGCATGTATTTCAGGGTACTTTGAATCGTATCACCAGGAACAATGACGTGAGTTACTAGAATACAAAGAAGTAAGAGAAATAGAGATAGAGACCAAAATAGTTTTTTAACTAGTCTGCTTTTCATAATCAGTGAGTCTACATTTTACAAACTTACACAAATTTTCTTCTAAGGCAACAATATTTATACTTAGGTATAAGACTTCTTTTATTTAGTATCATTCTCAACCTGGCCACCAACATAAAAAATCAGATCACAAACTACGTATCTTAAAGCCATAGTTGCAAACACAAATTTTTCTTTTATTTTCAAATTATAACTAAGGAATTAAAGCACTACATTGCATTATAATTTATTTGTCATTAGCAAACTCACAAAATTGCTCTTCTGACACATTGTTCTGTCTTAAAATATGCGCAAAGCTTTAAACTTTACATTTCCTAACTAAATTAAACCTCTAAGTAGTTTATAACTGTAAAAACCTTTTAGATTTATTACAATATACAGTCGTATCCCAATGGTTACAACATATAAATTATCAAAGGGATTATCTATTTAAAAAATTTTTCTATCGAAAATAAATTTAAAAAACCTCACCTGTACTGTCAAACTCAGTACATTTTTTAGCCTTAAGAACTGCTGCAAGTTCACTGAGCATTTTCTGCTGTTCTGAAGAAAGCCCACTGCCTATAAGCACACGAGGTCCACCCCTGTGCTGACCTGTGCTCATCTGTTAATGAAAACGGAGATGCCGCAGTTAAAAACATTGAAAGACTAGACAAAACATTATTTAACTGACTTTCACTTGATGTAAGCTTGAATTTCTTTCCTTAGCTTACTCTATCTAGCAATTCCCAATAATTTCCACTGGATTGTCACTCTGAAGCTTAAAGCTCAATGCATTTGAATAACTATTTTTCTATTTCTTTATCTTCCCCCCATAAAATGCTACTTGTGATGGCTCTCCATACCCAGGGCATCTTGTTTCTTGATTCTAAATTCAGTCTTTCCAGGGTTTTACAGCTTCACTCTGTCACCAGTAAGCCTTTTTTTTTTTAAGTAACCCAAACCACTCACTTAAAATTATCAATTTCCTTTCTCCCCTCCACTCACTTATTCCAATACAGTTAAACTCAACTTGGTCTGTTTGGTTTAAACTGAGACTGTCTGAAAAATGAAAGAATACTCGAACAGCACTGATCTCAAAGATAGAAAACACATTTTTAACATAGAAAGTTACCTCTCAAAATCAAGAAAATGAAAACAGACAAGGGAATATCAGAGTTAAATCAGATCCACCAACAGTAATAAGTCAATGCAGCCCATGAAATGGAAAGAAGCGCTCTAACAAAGACTAATATATGTTCACTTTAATAGAAAGACTTAGAACTGAGAGGAGACAAAAAAGCCAAAAATAAAGAGAAGGTACCCATGGATAGTATTAGAGATTGGAAGTGAAAGATTCAAAGAAACACTGAGATAGTGTTTTCAATAGCAGTCAACAGAAATTTAATAAATGGAATTGGAGGAAGAGTTAGCCAAAAGCTACCTGACAGGAGAAAAACAATGACCCAGCAGAGAAGAATGGGAAGGTGAATCAGCACTACTGTACAAAAGATCGAAAGCCAGACACTTTAATCTTCAAATACAAGACACAGGGCCCTCCTACGCGTGAGTGTGTATGCATACAGACATGTGGGCTTTCAGAAGCTCCGAAGAACATGAGTGAAACACTGCAGGAGCAATCACCAGTATAGTTCAGCAACTAGAATGGAGAAGGTTGGTATTTAAATATTCACTTCAAATATCAGAGTAGAGAGAATTTAATTTATCCAGTCTGATGCCTGCAATATTACATGGAAACTGCTGGCTACATCTCTAAACACATGATCTTAAGATTCATTCACTCAAAGTATATTAAATGAGATTCTACTATGCATTAATAAGCAAGTATGTATATATTTTTTAAAAATATGTTTATAAAAAGTTTTTCTAAATGGCAAGATTCAGCACTTCAAAGTTCAGCTTCCTGAATTACTTATTCCTCTAAGGTTCAAGGTGCAAAGGTTTCACTGGCCATGCTATGTACGCCACACACATATTTACAACACATTTCTATCCATGTATCTTTCCTAGGCACTAAACTCTAAGATGATGTAACCATGTCCAACCCAAACACTGTAAACACTCCATAACGTGAAAATGGTTCAGTGTACTTTATGGATCATTCAATTACTATATGATGATAATACTAAAAAACAGCATTTTAAACATTCGTGTCAGTTATACAAATAAGTGCCACAAAAATAGCTCTAAATTGAACACATTACTTTTCCATTTATGTAACTCCACTTCACCTAAATTAGCTCTCTGTACAAAACAGTGAAAAGATATCAGTTCTAAATATAGCATAGGATACTATTTCCACCAATCCAAGGAAAACACCAAAGTGGGTCAAGAATTTTCCTATCATAGTTTTTAAATTTGAATAAAAAATAGAAACTGGCACTAATTTCTTGTAGTTAAGGAATGCTATTTAAAAAAACTACACAAAGCAAACAGCTGCCAAGGCCACGTGTCTGACGCAGGGGGCAGGCGGCATTTGATTTGAATAAGCAGCGGTCTCAGAAGCATGAGGTTCCGAAGGTGCTCAAAAAACATCCTGAGGGGTCAACACCTTATTTGCAGAGATTAGATACTATGCACAGTGGCATTAAACAAACTCTCATTTAAGGAATAATTAGATCTGGAACTTTTTCTTAGATAAATTAGTTATTCTGAGTTGATCAAAATTAATATTTAAAAAACTATAGACAGAATACAAAAGATAAACAGGCTGCTCAAAGGGAAGAAGGGCGAGAAATCACACAATGAGCATGGCAAGCTGCTTTTCAAGTCTTTCTGCTCAGAGACTGCTTCTCAGATTTAAGGCAGTGCTTTCCAACAACCATTCATCTTACTGGAAACAAAATTCTCAATGGGCAGCAGAGGACTTCAAATCCTGCCCACACAGCACCCCTTCCCTTCTGCACGTTCTCCTGCAGCAGTTCCCAGGATGGCCTGGAAATTACTGAGTGAAGGATTTCAGACTCAGCTACCAAGCACTTGTGCTCATCTCAGGGGCAAGCACGCATCAGGAAGGGCCCCCGGTGCTCATTCATGCATTCGACATCCACTGACTGAGCACCCACTATCTGCCAGCCATTATTCTCAGTGCTGAGGCCACTGCAGTAAACAAGAGAGGCAAGTCCCTGCCCTCACATAGTGTATATTCTAGTTGGGAGGAAAGAAAATCAATAAAAACAAAAAAGAATTAGGTCAGATGATAAGTGGTACGGTAGAATAAAGCAGGGGAGTACAGAGTACAGAGTAATACAGCTGTACAGAGATCGCTCTGATAAGACCACACTGCAGTCACATCTGAAGGGAGTGAGGAAGCATGCCACGTGTTCGCCTGGCACCCTACATTTGCTCCTGGCAGAGAAAACGGCTAGTGCTAAGGACTTGCAAGGAGAGGATGAGGGGGGCTTCAGGAAACAGGAAGGCAGCCCATGTGGCTGAAAAAGAATGAGTGAAGGGGAGTCTGCTTGTGGCTGGGGAAAGGCAAGCGCCAGAGCTTAGATCTCCAGGACTATACATAAAGAAACAACCCTTCCAACTTAGTAGTTGTTAACATTCATTATCTTTTCCTTAGTCGAGCATCTCCCATTAAGACGGGGGACAAGCCATGTCCATGTGACATGCAGAAAGTATAGATTTCTTACATTTAATACAAAGCAATAGTATTTGGAGAGCTGAATTGAGAGAAGGATAATCACTTTCCTCTTTCTGAAGGGCACTGCCATCCCCACACTACAAGAATACCATAAAGAGATCTTTATTTTTGACGCATTTAAAATAATCCTCTCCAGCTTTTACATAAAAGGAACATTGGCAAATGACAACTTAGTTATGCTATGTTCTGCCAGAAGAGTTCAAGTCCAAGTGAATAAAATAAATGGCAATTTATAGTTGTTACATATGGTTAGACCAAATGGGTACCAACCTAAGATTTAAGAAATCTGAGTTCTAATTGATCCACTCCAAAAAAAATTTTTTCTACGATGCTTAACCCTGGGCAAATCATACTAGGTCTCAGCTTTCTCATTTGTAAAATGAGATAATTAACCTGCTGATTTCTAGGTTCCCTTCCGGTTCACTACCAAAACTATAGCATGGAGCACACTTACAGGACTGAAGTCTAGAGCAGGAGGTACAGTTTCAAAGCATAAAGGCAACTACCCGTGACAACATCTATGCCCACATCAAACTCTCCATACTGTGAGTGGCCTCCGTATCTTAAACAACGCATCAATCACTACTCCACTGCTCTTACCAGACAGACAGTGTTCCCTGAATGGTCCTAGACCTCAGCTCACCCCTTTCTCTTATTTTTCCCCATCTGAGCAGTTGCTAAGATACAGTGAGTCCACCAACCCTCTCTCTCTAAACGCCTCTTCTTCTCTCCATCCCCACATCACTACCACCACCTATGGGTCCAGTCCTCACCATTTCACACCTGGACTCTACTGCAGCAGCCTCCTAACAAGTCTTCAGTCTCATCCCACTCCCAACTACCCTCTGCGCAGTGCCAATCCATTTGAAAACACTGAGGGTGCCCTATGAACCAGGGAAATAAAGGCTCAACTTCTCCCCAGGGATTTCAAGACCCTTTACAACCTGATCCCAACCTACCTCTTTACCCTTAATTCCTCTTTAACATGTCTTATGCTCCTCTCACCTAAACTTTCCAACGAAAATCCATTCCTCACTTCCTCCATACTAACAGAAGCCCAATTCTGTTCAGATATCCACTCTTCAAGGACTAACCCTATCTTCAATCATGAAGTATGTCAAAACTGCTATGTGATCAGTTCTGACCAATATGACATAAGAGGAAGTCCACTGGAAGGCGTCTGGGAAGGCTTTAGTCCTTCTTGTAATGCTGGACACTGTCATACCCAGAATTGTGGCAATCACCCTATAACCACTAGTAGGGAGATTACTGAGGTCAGAGCCACCAAGCTGAAGAGGGCAAAGTAGAAAGACAGCCAGACTTTGGGTCTCTGGTGCAGCCACTTACCTGCTCAACTACCCAAATGGAGAGCTAGCCTACATGGAGATTACTTTAAATAAGATAGTACACTGTCTTTAAGCATTTGAGTAAGAATTTTCTGTTATTTACAGCCAACAGCATTCCATTCGATACTTTGCTAAAACTTTCACCTTTCAAGGTTTAGACACCTTTGCCACCTTCTCTGTGAGGCTCTTCAGATCCCTCCTGAAGTCAGCTTCTTCCTTCTCTATGATTCTACTGTACATTTTTATGGCTCCTATTATAAATTTATGACAGTACATAAGAAATTCTCTTACATCTATATACCAACTAAACTCTAGCTTCCCAAGGAATAGTCATTCTTTCCACTTTATCTCTAGAGTGTATCTCTCTCCTCAGCTACAGAAGCACCTATCCAACGCCTGTTCAGCATCACCATTCGATGCCTTATAGACATAACATTGGCAAAGAGAACTACTGCTTTCCTTCCCCACGGCAACAAATGGCACCACCATCTATTCTACTGCTAAAGTCATACTAATTCTACTCTTTCTCCACACTTCATACATAATCCATCAGAAAGTTCTGTTGTCATTAACTCAAAAATATATACTAAACCTCATTACTTCTCATAATCTCCAATGAACAGTCCCAAGTGGTCTCTTTCCTTTCATTCTTGCCCCAACCCTGCAGTCTCTTTATTACAAAGGAGCAGAGGGAACTTTCTAAAGCATAAACCAAATCCTATCATTCCCATGCTTTAAATCCTTTCAGTGGTCTCCCATTAATCTTTGACACTCACTAGTCACCAGCAATAATGACTTTCTCTCTAACCTTCCAACACTCTGAGCTCATCCACTGAGGAGCCTATACACTGGTGTTCCCTCTGCTTGAAACACTTGTCCTCCAGCTATTCACCTGGATGCCTCCTCTTCATCATTCAGGTTTCCAGTCAAACATCAGTTCTTTAAGGTCTCTCCTCAAGGCCCCTCACTACAGCAGTGCCTTTTCTGGAGCCCACAACCCCCACTCAAGTACACTCTACAGAACCTTCTTCAAAGCACTCATTTAGAAGGTCCTGAAAGTTTTTGTTGATATTAGTTTATGTATTGACAGTCTGTCTTTCTCCTTTCTCTCACTAGATTGCAAGCTCCTTGAGAATAAAATTCTATCAGTCATGTTTATTGCGGTATGAGTGCTGCCTAAGATATGGAGGAGGGTCAATAAATATTTGTTGATAGATTTATTCTGATTATGTCTTTGAATTCACAGTAGCTAATACACAGGAAGTGCTCAATAATTGTTTGGTGAATGAAAGCAATTTGCTAACTGGAAATTTTTCTATTATGTTCCTTTCATAACCAATTTCAATAAAAGACATAAATTTCCCAAAGCTAAATCCATACTTACTACTGAGCAACGGCTAGTTGATGATGATTCATTCTTCTCTGGGAGCAGCAACAGCGATTTCATATTTTCACTGTCCGCATAATCCACAGGCCGCAGACCAAATATGTTACTGGTAAAATAAGTACAGATAGGTTTAAGCAAATAAAATGTACGACTTGATTCTTAACTAAATGGATGCACTAATGGAACAATTTCTTCAACTTCCTCAATAATATACAATTTTTACTAAAATAAATGACTCTGAATACACGTAAGGCATAAGGATCAAGTAACATAAGCTGCTGAATTCAATGGACAAAAGATGTGAAATTTCAATTTGAAACAAGACCATTACAGGGAGCATTTTTAATTGACTATATTGCTACTAACATACGAATTTTTCACAACTCTGCATTCTTCTGCATTCATATTCATATTTTGAAACATAGCCTCATAATCATTAATCACTATGGGTGAGATGGTTTCAAATGCAAATAAAAACCATTTACTGTAGCTATTATAGGCTCTGCAGTCTATATAAACAAATACAGAAATTAGATAAATTCATAGGCTAGGCATTTAGATCCACTAGAAGGAAAACCATGCCCCACAACAAAGAATTTAACAAAGTAGTGAACAGGGCACTTTTAAAATTAATTTCAGGGACCGGCCCAGTGGTGCAGCAGTTAAGTCTGCAGCTTCACTGGCCTGGGATTCACCAGTTCAGATCCTGGGTGCAGACCTATACACCGCTCATCAAGCCATGCTGTGGCAGCGTCCCACACACAAAAAAGAGGAAGACTGGCACAGATGTTAGCCCAGTGACAATCTTCCACAGCAAAAAGAGGAGGGGTGGAGGTGGATGTTAGCTCAGGGCTAATTTTACTCAAAAAAAAAAAAAATAATTTTAATAAGTAGACACCCTATAATCTATAATGATCACAGCCATCACAGAACAAAGTGGTATGGTTCAGAGAACAAGCTGAGGCAGACCTCTCAGCAGGTATTAATTCAAAAGCCACAGAACAGTACACTGGACAAGACTTTAGAGATCCAGTACGACTGCTATTTCATAGATGAGAAAACAGAGAGAGAGAGAGGTTCCAATGACTTGAGAAAAGTCACATTTTCCTTGTTTATTCCACTAATATTCAATATTGCCCATCATTAGTCTTTCAATTATAAGTAACTTGTTATAATTACGACTTTTGTCTACCATTCCACTTCCTTACATATGGTTTCAAAATAATTTTAATATATTATACTGTGTCCAAAAGTTTTCTATGAGCATTTCTTTTATAATCCTTTATGGTTTTTAACATTATGGTATATCCATATAATGGCCATTAAAGTTCATGTGAAAATGCAATGTGCTAAACAGGATATAAAATGATAAACATAGTACAATACCAGTTTTTCAATTTGTGTTGAATGCATAGAAAAAGATCTGGGAAGAAACTGAAACAGCAGGGGAAGAGGAAGGAGGAAGCTGCCAGCTGTCTGAGGCTCCATGGAGGGTGCACAGATGAGGGATACAGCATCTATTGGGTTTAGAGACAAGGCCATTGACAACCTTGGAGAAAGATGTTTCGATGGCTTAGCAGGAAAAACAGGCTAGTGGATTAAGGAAAGAACGGAATCTCCAGTCCTGCAAATGTTTCTTTAATGACTGCTATTCATGACTATCAGGTTCAGCCACTCTTTCTTCTTGGGACGGTGCTGGATAAACACTGATAAATTCATATTCTCAGATTCCCCTTTAAGCCAGGTCCAATAACGTGTAACCTTCCTCTGGCAAGAGTCTTTCTCTAGCCAAGGTATAATACCTCAATTGTGTTTCAGCTTTCTGATTTACAACAAAGTGATACGAGTCACTGTGCTGGAATTTGGGAAGACCCATACACTCAGAGCAGACAATCAGCTTGCTTCAAAGGGTAGCTGATCTCATTTACTACACATGATGCTTCTCAGTTTCATTCTCTAAATTATTATGCCCACATGCCAAATACACAATCTCCTCGCACACATATGCTGTAATATGACAATCAAAAATTAGAAGTCTGAGTTTAAGAACCAATATTCTAGAGCTTACACCACCAAGTACACAAATGAATAAACAATAAAAAAGCCACACTATATGCCATCAAAAAATCACTGCATACATAAGGACTTTTCCACAAAGATAAATGCAGATTTTACACTTCAAAGAAATAAAATTTAAGAGCCCAATCAAATGCGCTGTAATGCTCAGTAACTATAGTATAGCTATTTTACACAAATACAAATAAAAGTCCACTATGACAACATGAAAGACTGTCACATGAAAGTACTTCCTAAAGTATCACCATCAGCTAGTGAGGACTTTGAACCAAAAAATAACCAATAAAACAATGGTCTTAACAAGTAAAATGCTTTTACCATCTAAAGAACAGCTTCATAAAATGATTAGAAAGATTCTAATTTACATTTAGAGTCTTTACTACACGGCTTACTACCTCATGTGGTCTGTAAACATGTGGTTTCTCCACAGGGATTACGGACAGCTTCTGCTTATACACACAATCACTAAACCCTTAGGCCCCCTTATTGCTACTGGAGAACGGCACATTACAAATGCTACAGACTGAAAGATAATCGGCCAAACCTCAGCCCTATAGCATGGGAGATGGAGTCTATGAAATCCTGGTGCATTTTGGCTTTGTTGTGGACCACTGAAATTTGGAATTAGACACTAGTTTTGCTTCAAAAAACCATAGGAAGAGAAGACAGGACACACGTAAGATTTCTCCTCTATAATGTAGGCACAAAAAAGTCATAAAACTTTTTTCCCCATAATGATATATTTGAATGAATTAATACTTTGCTTACAGACTTGGTGTGAAAAATCAGTTTAAAATGTACATAATTAAATTTATTCTCTTTTTTTAAAAATAGGTAATACATAGAGGAAAAATCACATGTTGTTACTTGCACAAGGGACTATCAATGTGACAGATTATTAATTGAAGACGGTGAAAGTCAGTTATTCTCCATTACTACATAGGAAAGAAGACTTTTTTAGATTTACTGCAACATCATGGATTCTGAATACATACCAATAATTTAATTTGCTATTTATTCAAATGGGTTACCAAGGGAACTTACAGAATGATTTTTTCTAAATGTTCTTAAATATAGTATGCTTTCTATTTCCTGACATATTTTAACCTAAAGCCTTAACACTTAAAATAGGTATTGTGGAGGAGTACCTAGACTTAGACAACCCTGTCCTTGCCTGTAATCCTACTGAGAACAAATACTCATTCAAGAGATGAGTATAGAAGTGCTAAAGTGGAAACTAAAGCCCAAGTATGAGGTGAGACGTAAGAGGGATCCCGAAGGAGGCAAAGAGCACACGTCAGCAAACAAGACGGCCTTGAGATCGAGATGAGAAACCAGAATGTGGGGCATGAATGTGAAGGACCCGTGGGGGTAAGCAGCGCGATTGTTGAAATGGATGGAATTAATGGAAGAAAGCCTTCTATCAAGGCTGAAGAGTCTAATCACTGTATGCTCGTGTGTCAGAGCCAAATACAATATGGAAAACTGATGAATGATCAGGCCTAAAGCAACGGACATTAGAGACAAAAACAGTACGTAGCTGTGAAGACAGAAAGGCACAGGGTCTACGAGTTAAACTACATGGGTCCATGTGACACCAATATAATTAAAACTATTCTCCGAATATTGGAAACCATCGACATCTTCACCGCTGAGTGTACATGCTGAGAGCACAACAGCATGTTAACACCTTTCACAGGCACCACTTCTGACAGTTCAGTTCCCTCAACGCCCTACTGAACAAAGTCCCCTATAATTCAGTGAATCCCACATAATTACATATAGATAATATGCTTTTATCTAAACTAAATCCTAAAAATGTCAGTTTTTTCTGGTTACTGAAACATTTTACATGATCATTAACCACTCAGGAGTTGTGTGACTTTAGATGAGTTACTTAACCTCTGGTGCCTCTCTTTCCTCATCTATAAGACAGGGATAACAACACAACCCACTTCACAGGATTGTTGCAAGGACCAAATAAAGTAAGACATCAAAAGCATTTAGAGCCAGGCCGGATGGCCGAGTGGTTAAAGTTTGGCACTCTCACTGCTCCGGCCCAGGGTTTGTTTCCTGGTCATGGAACCACACCACCTGTCTGTCAGTTGCCAAGCTGTGGCAGTGGCTCACAGAGAAGAACTAGAAGGACTTACAAATAGAATATACAACCATGTACTGGGTCTTTAGAAAGAAACAAACAAAGAAAAAAACAAAAAGCACTTAAAATAGTGCCTAGTAGACAGTAAACACTCAGTAAGTGCCTGCTATTAATATTACTATATTTTCATTTTTGGAAGACAGATACAGAATGAAGATGAGGGAACATACATTACACCTGGAGCGTTCACCTCTTCTCTTCATTTTCGCCAATCTGATGATGCCTTTCATGCATGCTTTGTAAGGATAATTTGGATGTGTACTAAGGGAAAGTACAGAAGCCTAGTTTCTCAGCAACATTAAAATAGGAGTAGATTTTCATTTTCCTGTATGGTTCAATGTAAAGAGAGAGCATCAACCAGATGACTTTGAAATCCTTTTTGGATCGCTCAGACTGATGAAAAGGAAGCACTTACTAAAGGATTAAGTTGCGGTGCTCAATGTCTCAGCTTCACCCCAAGGGCAGAGCTCAGAATTGAGTAGAATCCTTTAATGTCCTTTTCTCCTCAAGAAAGATATGGCAGCCACCCACCTACAACAATGCCCGAGGTGAGTTTCACCACTAGTAAAAGGGCAGGAGGAAAGACGGGCAAATTTAAACTTGCACTTGCACACACAGATCGTTCAATCCCAAACACACATGTGGGACGGCATTTTTATGAATGCTAACCCTATCATGCACAACAGGATACTAAGGCAGTCCGTGAATGTAACCCCTTATGAATAAACATGAAATTGCAAACACATACACTT